CCAGCCTGTTATTCAATAAGTTAAGAGCTCGTACGAGATGATGATGACACGATGATATGTGCTCCGTCCCTCCATCCGTTTGTCCGTTCCTCCGGCTGGATGCATGCGCAAAACGCGAAGCATGTTTGCGGATATGAAACTGTTGTGGGCATGTTGAGATTGGCATAAATAGGGAATTTTCGAATTATGTAATACAAGGTTCATTGCCATAATTAAGCACAATAAAAGTTAATGGAAGTGGGTTCTAAAAATAAACACAGCTTAATTATGTGTTACATTTATTTTACAAGCTGAGAAGTGTATTTAACTTTTTGTTAACTCCTAAAAATATCAGTATTAGTCAATTCCATTAAGTTGATAGAGCTTTAAGCATCTTAATTGGCATTGAATCATTAAAATTGTATTTTGAAATGCCATGTAATAGTTAAAGTATGTCTCTTTGGGAACTATACACATAAGTCCTTAATCTTTTGTCAAAACTAGAGGTTTGCAAAGCCAAATTATTTCAAATTAACTTCTATCTAATTTGAAAATATATATTATAAATAGCTCTATAATATTGTAAACTTTTTATAGGTATTTAGACATTGCCTATAGCTTTAAATACTATTTATACTAGCTGTACTCAAAATGAAAATATATAATATTATTGAACATAGGCTTATGATCATTTCCCCTATACGATCTCTTACTTCCATTTGATCAGACCTCAGAGTCCAATTCTTTTTTTTAAATACAATTAGTAATACAAAATATCTGTGTTCAAAATAAATATTTGTGCCCAATATTTATGTCTTTAAAAAGTGGCAAAATATTTTGGATTCTGCTCAAATATACTTTTAGCAGTCAACAAATATTTGATTCAATTTTGACTTGCAAATCTTAAGATAACAAAGATATGAACAGCACATCGATCGACTGTTCTGAGTGACAAATTAATTACTTAACAAATTATTTGCAGGCTACTTTGAATGTGAAAGATGTTGAGAGAAAAACAGAGTTATTTTTTCTACTCATTTATTCTTTTTTTATGAATATTATATATTTTTGTAATTGTACCAGAACTTTTCCGCAGTTACAAATCAGTTTTGTTCAGCTGAAACAACACTTGATATTTTTCTGAACAGCTTTCCTTTTGTACAGTCTGTAAACGGACTTGTCACAGGTTTGATCTAGAAAAGAATGGCAATATATACAATATATATAAGTGTACGTACATGGTTGCCCAGTTATTTCCTGAACTTGAAAACACGTTTGTCTTGTACTAGAACATGGCAGCATAAAGTCGAATTAACGCTAAGTGCTGCAGACAACATGGCGTATGCGTGATTTTTTTTGCTGGAGAATTCTTGAAATTGCGGTTCATTACAATTGCATTTTAATTGCCGTAGTCAATTAACGGGTCGTACGTCAGTGAAGGGTGCGACAGCTGCGATCCGATCTTAAGACAGATATATATATATATATATATTCCAAGTGCTATATGTGCGTGTTTGTCTGTGCAGAAGATGCCACAAAAAAGTTGTTTACCTTCTTTGGCAAATGTTGATTGCAGTTTTTTTTTTCGCTTTTGATAGTTACAATTAATTTTAGTTGGCAACGGTTTTTACACTTTGGTGATATAATCGCCCGCATATTCGAGCATGCTGATTATTATTATTACCTTTTTTTAATCAACTGTTAAACTGGTTTTTCAATTAGAGTGAAAATGTTGATGATGGCACCTCAAGCGTTCGACGGCATTGAAATTCATTTTTTTTTTCGACGAGTGAAAACCTTTTTTTTTTTTGTATGGATTTACATAATTTGAACAGCCAAGATTGCCCCCAATCTTCGCATATGTGATTTGTATTTGAGTATTATGGCATGGTAGACAATTGCAAGCGATTTGAGTTAATTTTTATTTAGGCGAAAAGTTAGCAACTTACAGAGCTTGTTTTAAATTTAAATATTTGGTTTTTATTGAACTGTGGCCCTGACAAATCCTTCGTTTAATCAACGCAAGTTAATTTCGTACTAATTAAAGCAAATTACAAATTTAGTTGCAGCAGCAAGAAACGCTAACAAAGATCATCAAGCAAATCAAGAGAAAAAGAGAAATTGGCTTAAAGAAAACTGTACAAAAACGGAATTGTTAATGAAGGAAATGCTCGACGAGCGCTTCGAGCTCAAGATGAGCCTGGTTTACAGGTAAACAGTAAACTGTAAACTGTGGACTCTAAAAGAAATGCATAACCGTAAAAAACACAGACACACACACGCACACACACACAAACACACACCAGTTGCATAAGTGTTAGCTCCCTTTCACCCCGGAGCTCTCCCCAAATCTATCCCAGACCAAAGCAAAGCGAGCGGATCGCAGAGATTGCTTTTAATTTATGGCAAGTGGGGAGCACTGAAGGCCCTATGGCCACGGCAACGGGGTTTCTTTTTCGATGTTCAATATTGAAATGCGAGTCGTATTTAAATATGTTTATTTTTCAATTTCCATTTGCTGATCATTTGTGCATCTGCTCAGCTTGCTTTTTATCTACCCGTTCCCCTTAATTATGCAATCAGTGAACTTTTCAAATCACCTGTCAATATACCAATTGTCAACTCTGGTTTCCGATTTTGAATATTGTTTTTTTTTTGTCTTTAACGGATTTTATATGTATAGCATTCAAATCGAGGCTTAACACACTCTGATTCCGTTTCTTGGAAACGTGTCTGGCCACATGGAAATCCAGTTAACTGGATACATATGCCTGGCATATGACATACGTGTGTCTACTTGATGACCGGTTGACCAGCTCGAGGCTCTGTCCCCGAAGTAGGAAGCATATTCGAGAATTTGTGTGCCGAGTCGCTGTCAAGACAAGGGCGCCTCTACGTCAATTGGAGGCGGCGTTGTGCACAGTGATTGAAAACCTATGCCAATGCATTGAATATTGATTTATGAGTTGCTTGGACAAAAGCTTAATTTATTTTTGCTTCTCTGATTGATACATATGCGCATAATTTTGTAAATTAAAACAATTTGAATAAATATTTATAACTGAATTTTGTTGTTTTAAAAAAATAAGCTATTTGGTCATTATCAATATATCTAGCATTGACACATAAGCTTTACGTTTTGACTAGTTTTCGAGCAGTTATACAACACTTTGGCCCACTGTGCGTTCGCTTTTCATGCACGATTTATGCAAAGCGTCCACTTTACAACTAGTTCACCTTAGCAAGAGTAAAAGTTTGCAAACACACACACACACACGTGCGAATACGTGACGTATTCACATCAACACTATTTTCAACCACTGTAATGCAGATGCATTGCATGGTATAGCCCACTGTGCGATTACAAATTGAATAAGCATATCAAGAGCATGCCTTCTGCAGCCAAGCTCAAATAATGTCAACAATATAACAATTTATATGCTTACGTATATAGTGACATATTCATAACTGATAAAAAATCACGCCAGTGAAACAAAGTCTTTTTATTTTCAAACGGATAACTACGCTATCTTTTTTTTTTTAAACCGTAGTTATAAGGTTTATAATAAAAAGACTTTATTTCAGGAGCATATATTTTGATCAGTCATGAATATGTTACTATATATATGTTTACATATATGTGAATATGAACGCATCGTATCTCTTGGAAACTCGTTTTCGCTGGCTATTACGTCTATTGAATATGTAACGATTGTAATGGCAAATATTCTGCCACACAGGTCTTATAGCTCTATGGAAATTATATGCTTTCTTTTATTTGATGCTTAAGATTTGTAGCAGCAGCTACTAAATATCTGAGTACTGAAGGCTAGATTAAACCATGCCGCAAATTACTCAGCTTTTCAGACGACATCTTTTTCAATCACCTTGGCTGGTGATAAAACTTATGCATGCATCAAAATTGACATATAAAATGTATATTATATATGAAATCAACCGCATGAAATTGTATTTATTTATTGAGCCAATTTTGCGGTGCGGAGTACAAAAAAAAATGTGTAAGCCATATAAATTTGCATGGACACGCATATAACTTTGGTATTTCCAAGACAGAGTCGAAATTCGCAATGCTTGAAATTAATTATCGACGACTGTGTGATTTGTTATGATTGCGCAAAGCGCCAACGGGGGCTGTCCAAAGATTCCCTATATGAATTAAGAACCTGTTGCCGGAGACCACTTCACAATCGGTGCCATGAGAGCCGGCACTCACTTTGCGTGCATACAAATTAATTGACAAGAAAACCCGAGAAAAAACATAATACGAGGATTGTTAATAAGCTTAAATTTTGCATTATAATAAATTCATATGCTGCCCAGCAATATGCATATAAATATATATGCTAAGTATGCCTAATTCTAGACCGGTTGCTTCGCTTTAAAATTGATATAAAACCAGTCTAGGAAACACTCGAAATACTAATAAAATCAATAGAAGAAAAAAAAAACTGAAATTTACATATGAAACTGAAATCGAAACTGAAAACCGAAATCAAAAACGCGTTTTGTTATTCAAATTTTTTTGTTGTTTTTGGTTTTGTTGGGATAATACAAAACTGGTTAGTAAGTCAGTGGGTAGCGCACACAAATTGGGTTGATTGTTGGCTATACTGGTAGTTGGATATATGTATATATAGTGGTTGGGCCGACTTGCGTCTGTTGCCAGGTAGAAGAGAGACTGTTGCTAAACTCATCTTGTGCATTATAATAGCATTTTTATGGCTGCCGCTGCTGCTCAAGATTAGCATCACAATAATCAAAATGATGAAATATACTTTTCATTTAATTCGTTTTTAAGTTTGTTGTTTTGTTGCTTTTTTTTCGTTTTAGTTTTTTTTTTCGATTTACTTTATTTTTTATTAGGTATTTTTTAAATATACACATACAAATTAACGTAAAACTACAAAAATGAGTATATAAAAACACAAGTTTTGTTTTGTTTGCTGTTTGTTGTTTTTGTTGTTGTTGTTGTTGTGTTGTGTTGTCTTTTTGTCAATTTTGTTGTTCTTTTTGTTTCTTTTCATTGTTTTGTTTTGTTTTTTGTTTTTTTTTTTTTTTCAATAACGTAACACAGCAGACTTAGCCGAGCGCGTTTTTGTAGCGTTTTAAACGCGACACAGTCAAAATAAAGAGTACAATATAAAAGAAGTCTTGAGTATATTGAAATAATAAAAGTCGAGTTGTTTGTAGGTGACTGTAGGAATTTGGATTGGGGCTGCTTGGATGCGGATGCGAACGCACTCTTTCTCTCTTTCGCTCTCTCACAATCGAGCTCTCTCTCTCTCTCTTACTCTCTCACACGCTGACTTAGAAGAAACCATCGCCAGTGGGATCGTTGACCCATGGGTAGTTGTTGGGGCATCTGACGCAGGTCTGCAGGTTGATGGTCTCCCCGGGAACCTCCTTGGAGGTCAGCTTGCAGGTATTTGGCACCCAGCAGGCTTGCCTGCCCTCAACCACACACCTCTCCCTCCAGGGCTCGAAGTTCTTGACCTCGCTGATGGTGCGTGGATTTTGCATCCACTGTATCACCTGTGTCATGGTCACAAAGTACACATCATTGTGATTGGCCAGGATCTCATCGATCCAGTAGAGGAATGCGTCCAGGAACTCGGGATTGTTCTTCAGCCAGGCGGCATGGAAGTACAAACCAAGCGGTGCACGATTCTGATCGTAATGGCGATCGAAATTGTGATTCAGGAAATTGTAGAACTGATCGCCAGTCAGGATATTTGAGCAGGAGTCCACCATGGCACAGCCAGGCAGATATTCATCATTGGCAGGATCCTCACGACGATCCAACTCATTCATCACCATCTCCCACACGGCATGCGATCTCGTGGGGCAGCTCTGCAGATTGCCATGACAGCGATGGGGCATGCGGAAGTACATGGTATATGGCCACAATGGTGGGTTCGACAGCGGAGCTGTAATGGTCGAGTCGTAGAGGAAGGCCTGCTCCTCCATCATGGTGAACTGATTGTTGCCGCCGACACGCAGATATGGCGCACGCACACCCACAACCGAATTGTCCGTAATATTCGCATATTTCTCAATGATAATCCTCATGCCGGCCATTTCCTTGGCCCAGTCATCGACCGTCGCGTTCGACCAGAAACGCTCCTCATCGTTGTGCGTGATCGAGTGCACAGCAATCTCGTGACCCTTACGCGATGTCTCCTGCACCGCGGAGTAGTTGGTGTACTTGTGGGAGACGAAGTATGTGGCCTTGATGTCGCAGCCATTGGGATTCTTGCGACCCTTGAAGATCTCCTTGTACAGCTCAATGTTGTTGTTGTTGATCGCATCATCGAACGTTATCGTGATCATCATGGGCACATCCTTGGCTGGCAAATCGCCGGGTATCGAGGTGCCATCCTCCGAGCAGAAGCAATCGGGCAGCACGCAGACGGCAGGGTCGCAGGGTGGCGCGCGATTGGGATCGTTATCGATATCTATAAATGAATCAAAAATCCGAACATAAAGACAAAGATCAAATAAAATGCTTTGCACGGCGAATGAAATTTATCATATAAACAGTATTAAATACCCAATAATTTTATTCTTTATTAGTTAAAATGCGTTATTACAACATGTAAACTAAAGCTGTTAAGGAAAGGCTGTAAATAGCTACTTAACATAAAATATAAATATTGATAACAGCTCTCTGTTAACTCCTAGCCTATGCCTTCAAGCGGAAAACATTGTTGACTTCTGATAGTATTAATAAGGGTTCCTTGCTTTCGTAAGCAGTTCAAGGGAATTGGGAAATCTCTTAAAAAATCACACGACCGGCCTAGATATTAAGAAATTCCACATTTTTTTGGGCTTATACAATTTAATTACATATATTGTTTTGTGTATTTTTTCTCAGCGCACTTGGGTCTTGGCTAATCATTTATATTCTGTACGGGGCGTTTCAGTAAAGTTCAATCAACTTTATGGAAAATGATTTCAAGCAATTAGCTAACTGTACATGGGCGGCAGCCGGTTCAATGAACTACGTCGGGCCTGGAAAACCAATCACAAATCAGCCGGGTGTCGGGAAAACCGCCGTCGCCAAAACGCAAAGTGAATGGAAAATGTCTGCACAATTTCAGTATCTCATATATATATATTTTTATTATTATTTTGAATCTATATTTTTCTGTGTGTGCTTTTTTTTTTGTTGAAGCCAAGTCTTCGTCAATCAAGCGAAGAGCTCGACTTGGCAACTGCTTTGGCATGCAGCCAACGTTCACCTGGGCCAGGGCAGAGGGCCTCAATGTTTAATCTATGCGGCGCTGTCTTCGACTTTCGGTCAGCCTCAGTACACGCCCACGTGTTTGCCATTCATTAGCGGCCATATGCAAATTATACATACACTACTTGCCAGCGTCATTTGTAAGCCTTGCACTTGCATAGAGCATTGGGCATGAAGCATGGTGCTTGGAGCTACGCTCGGAGCAGTAGCTCATCATCATAAATCAGCTGCGAAAGTTTGCAGTAAAAGAAACTCTTTGACGTAATTTTTTGTTGCTTTGGCACTTGCCGAAGTGAAATGCCAACGAGACACGCAAAGGCCAAGCAAATAAAATAATAACAAATAAAAAAGAAAACACTTTTGTTTCTTTCCTTCGTTTTTCTCGTCAGGTTTTTTCTTTTCGAATCAGTTTTTGCAAGTAGGTCGCACCCGGCTTTTGTCTCCGCCTGACCTTTTATCACTCCGCCTGTCTCTCTCTCTCTCTCTCTTTTCCTCTCTACCCCTCTCTCTTTCACTCTGCTGGCACACACACTACTGCCTGCCAGCTGTTGGCATTTCTTGTTGCCAATTATCTGTCGTTATAGCCAAGTGTTATGTCATCGAGCATCGAACCGGTTGTGCAGCTCAGCCTCTGAATATTCCCTGGCATTTAAGCGACTTTAGGGTTTGTCTTTAGTTTGCATGCCATTTCTTTGTCCGCCCCTCGTTTCGCTCAGATATTTGTGCCATTGTTTATGGATAACAGCAAGCTAAATGTGAGCTGGCTTTACATTTCGTTCAAGAGGATGTGCACAGGCCCAGGCCGATTTCGCGATAAAGTCGGCCAAGTGGCATATGGAATTACAAGTAAACAATCACGGATCTTATTGTGTTGAATTAAGAAATTCAAAAAAGACTTTGACTGCCATGAAACAGTTAAGAGAATCTTGAGATTACATTCACATTCCTTCGAATAACCAGTTTTTTGCAGAATTTGTGTTATCTGATTACAATTATTCCATTCTTTTTCAGTAAAAAAGGGGAAACGTTTAAGAATCTCGCGCAAATAAGAAAACAGAACAGAAAATTTAAACATTATATCGCAGTGTATAACGATTGAGGAAAGAAACATGTGCTTACTTTCTATATTTTCGGTTTCTAGCGAGTTTAGAAAAACGTTTAAGATTGTCGCGCAAAGAAAAAGACAAAAAAGGGGAATTAGAATAATCAGGGAATAAATCTGTAATCTAAAATTTTAATTCTATCTTACATTTTTAATAGGCAAGAAGAAGACAGAAATAGTAGAAGACAAACTTTATATCTCACTTAAAATCTCAAAATCTTTATAAATCTATATAAAAATCTTCATTTCAGCAACTCTTTTAGTAAATCGTTTAAGATGGTAGCCCTAAGCAGATTATTAAAAAAAGGAAAATGAAAGCGTTTGAAAAGACTGTATAATTGTATTTAGCTTAGCTTTGTAATTATTTAACAAACATATCGTTTATCATACTTTTGTATATTTGGTTTCTGCAATGTTTTCTTTATCGTAAATACTGCTAAGCTATTTTCCGGGGCTATCTATGCGTAACAGTCGTCGCTTCACACACCTAATTGCCTTCGCTTCGACGCTTTGCTGCACATTTTTGTTGATATATGGATTTATAATCGCAGCCAACTCTAGATGGTTGCCATTTAAATTGGCTCATACTGTGGCTTCCTTATTGCCTTCGAGGCGAGCAGCGCGCAAGTGCCTGCATTATTCAATTTCAATTTTAAATTCAATTGTTTACAAATTAATGGCTCGCTGAGCACTTGCAATGTTGCCGCCATCGCCAACGGCTGTGAAACGTGCCAATTTTCGCATTAGCCAAGACACGATCTGCCATCTATGAGCTGCGATCTATGGCGGAGGTCTTAGAATTGAACGGCCGTAGCTCTGGCAATGGCCATTTATTTCTTGACTATTGTTTGGCATTTGATTTGCTCATTAATGCACATTTATATGCGGGCGCGTCTTGAGAAATGTCGGCATCGTGTTTTGCAAATTATTAATGTAAACCCATTGAAGAAAAAAATCATAAAAAAGAAGCGAAATGAAAACAAAATCAAAGCAAAAGGTAAGCAAGACTCCACTTTGTTGTTATTTAAAATTAGTTGCGGTTTTTTACGCTGGCTGCTATTTTAAAGAAATAATAAATAAATAAATAACAAGTTGCTGGCTCTTTTGTTGCTGCTGCTTTTTTTTTCTTCAGCTTTGTGATTGTTGTTGTTGTTGTTGTTGGTTAGTCGGCTTTTTGCAATTGCTAAAAATACAGCGTTTTAAGCCGATTATGTAAGCCTAATTTACACATGAATCGAACGGGCTTTGAAACGCCTTTCGGTAGCTCGGCCCCATGCCGAGAGCGCCGAAGTGGGCAACAACGGGTTAGATATACGTACATTTGCTTTGGTTTTATTTCTTTTAAGTCCAAGGTTAAAATTAATTATTGATTTATTTAACATTTAGATGTTGCATGCGAGATGTGTGTGACTTAAGCATGGCCTAACCACCCGGTCCACTCAAAAATTTATATATGTATAATGAATGGTGCAAAATGCACGACCCAACCCCGTTTTGTGTCTTGTGTGTTGGATCAATGATGAGATCAGCTCAAAGTTCGTTTCTTTTCACACTTGACATTTTCCACCCAAAAGAAGAAGACGAAGAAGGCATAGGAAACACGTATTTATAAGAAATAAGCCAAAACGAAATCTGGCGGCATTTTATGGGCTCACGATCGCTCCCTCTGAAGGGCTTTACGAAACCGGTCTATACCTGGTGCAATACCTGCATTGCACGTAGGCGGCAGCCCCCGCCCGCCAGCTCCCTCACAGACACTTGTCTGTTGCATAGTGTTTTTCTTGAAAGATTTTCAGAGTGGTTCCACAGACCGAACAGCTCCAAAAGTAATGTTAAATGCCGTCGACCGGTTTTAAGGTGCGACTCTGACTGGGCCAGGCTTAAATCCACTGAGCAGCTCAAAGAAATTGACGCGCCACACAAATGTAAGCCACTAGAAATGTTTTTTTTTTTTTCTTATTTCTTGTTTTTATCTTGCCCGTTGATGGGGTAATATCGGATTTGAAGCCAATCCTATGTAATGCTGGCAGCTTATGTCTCGAGTCTTGCTGAATCATTCAACTCAAACCTTATGTGGCACCGGCATTACACACACTTATTAACCATTAAGCTCTCCAAGTCCTACTTATGATATTATTTTAAAAAGAACTGGTATTTATTTCGCATTATTTTCTGACTGAGCTCTGTTTTGCGTACTCTCTTCAGTTCTACTTATATGCTCCTTTCACTCTCTGTTGGTATTTTCCTCTGATTGTTTCTTGTCTTTTTTATCTTTAATCTCGGATTGATCTATCGATCTATTTATATTTTCACTTTTTAGCTAGTGTTTCTCTCCATGCCAATTTTGTACTTACCGCAAGTGTTCTCATCGGAACCATCTGAGCAATCCTTCTCGCCGTTACAGAAAAGGCCGCGCTCAATGCAGTTGCCATCACCGCAGGCGAGGAAACCATCCTGGCAGAGCGGCTCGTCTGTGTGCAGCAGAGGCTTCACACGGCGCTCCTTGTTCTTGCTCTTGCAGTTCTTCACCGACTCCTTCCAGTCACAGGTCTGCTTCTCAATATCGAAGTACAGACCGGCTGGGCAACGAATGGCTTGCAGGCCCTGTAAATCATCAGAGCAGAAGCGGCGCAAAGCATGTTAGTTGTATGAAGTCCGGAGAGCTGGGCGAGTTAGATAGGGAACCTACCGATGAGGTGCACTGAATGACATCGCGACAGTTGTCACCTTCGCCAGCCACCAAACGGAACCATTCGCCGGCATCTTTGTCCTTGCACAGCTCCTTCTCGAAAGACTCTTCCTTCTTGGGCTCCTCGGTTGTGGCCTGACGCTTAACGCGCACTTCTTCGGCATTGACTGCAATCGGGCAATTAGAAATTAATTAAGAAAAATTACGAAGAAAACCACCGAAATGAAAACACAAGCAAAAGAAAAAAAAGGCTTTCAAAAGGGCAAAGGTGGAGTGAAAAATTAATTGAAAGACAAAACAAAAATTTGATGTAATTTACTGAAGCTTCGAAATCTTTCAATTATTTTCGGATTATTGTTTATTATTTTCACTGCAAATTTAAATAATTTGCAATATTCCGAATTTTGTTTTGAATTAAATTTAGGAAAGGAATTTTCTAAAAAGTAGCCCAAAACTTGGCTATTTTCTTTGATTAATGTTATTTCAAAACCGGAAGAATTTCGGCTTTGGATTCGGTATGGCAAATGTGGGTTGGTTTTATGTCGTATGGCTGGCACTTCCTGTTATACATATATATAAACCAAAATACAAAAAAAAAATAAAAAAGAAATCGGTATAGACATAGACATATGTAGATGCAGGCCGGGGACTAACGGCATGTCGTCTAGCTGGTTGTGTCTCTTGGGGCTTGGGGTTGGCCAAAACACGTTTGCCATTATGAAATACGATGTCACCAATACCAATGCAAAGAACTCACGGCACGGGCAGACTCCATGAGCCCAGGCCAAAAATAACAAATTATGTATAATAATAACAGCAACAAAATAATATATACAAATACTTGTTGCGCTCGGCTATAACTTTGACATTTCGCAGTCACAGTTGGCAACAGTGAAAGAAACAGTTGCCATATTTGCATAACTGTTAACGGTTAATTGACAGTCGAACGGGCAAAGCTGCAGGGCAAATTACACACAACAACATACTTGGGTACATGAATTGCATGTACTTTATCACACATATTGATCGATGGCCTGTCAGAGTCAACAAATGCATTCCACAAATGTCGAATGTCAAACTCGACTCGATTCGAATCGAAGTAACATTTATTTTTTTCTTCAGCTCAACTGAATGCTGTTTTAATGTTGAATCTCAGGATCTGTGGACCCTACAGAAATGAAAGTTGTTTTGCAAGTGCAGCAACTAGTTGTTGTTGTTGTTGTTGTTGTCGTTGTTATTGTGGCCAAGCAATTGTCTACGCGTCCTTTTTTTGCATAATCAAGGTTACAAACAGGCTGCGACTTTAATTTAGTCAGCTTTCAGTTTTTATATTTTGAAGGCCAGCTTTTAATTTTTTTGTTTAATTGATTGACAACTTCCGCTGCAGCAATGCAAATTACCCAGACAGAGCAATTAAAACAGGCCCACACTATAACTAAGCATTTTTTAATATATGTACTTAAAAGCATATTTTGTGTTTTCATTTTTTTTCTATTTCAATGAAAATGTTGTGCTTACCTGCGCCAATGGCCGCCAAAGCCAAAACGGCAAAAACAACAAAGAGTTTTGCCATTTTGTAGAGTTAAAAAACACACGCACAGTTTCTATGATATGCCAGCAGCAGTTTCTATTATTTTTTGTATTTTCACTATGTTAAAAAACACTCGAGTTGAGATCAGCTTTGAGCAGCGGCAGTAGTTTTGTCCTTCCGTTCGCTATCAAAGCTCCATTTACACTGTTTGCTACGTTGTCGCGCACAATTTCTCGAAGCTGACGCCAAAGCCCAAAACCAACTCAAATTTGCTTCTTTTATTACACGCGACGACGTCGGACGCCTCTCTTGCTGCTGCTGCTGCTGCTGTCGATCTGCAGCTGCTGGCGCTGTGGTGAGTTTTGGAAAGCGTTCGCAGCTAAACACAAGCACTGACAACGGCAGGGGCGGCAACACGATCCACACTCGTGAGCTTTTTAACGGCTTTGGTTGCTCGGTCGGTTGCACAAGTGCCGTTCAAAATACGCTCGTGACTTGACTGTCGCCCAGAAAGAGAGAAGTGCGGCACGTACGCGACACTCTTTTATATGCAAAATGGCAGCCGTTGCTTGTATTGGTTGGGGCTGGTGCCTGTTGGTGTCTGCTCCGTGGTGAGTAACAGCTGCAGCACACCTCTGTGGACTGCAAGTGTGTGGACAGCATTCGCTATTGTCGCTGCTGCTGCCCACTTGCTGCTGCAAATTGAATTCTTGGCCTTATGTCTGAAGCTTTGAGCGCTTCGTTGGCAATTTCCAGAAACTCATATCTGGGCGTATCCTCATTAAAATAAGTATGCTCACATACGTTCACACATATCGAACAACTCGAATTAACAGTAACTTTTGGGCTGTATACCCTAGCGATAATACGACCGATATTCAATATAAATATATTCAATATAAAAAAGCACACTTGTCACATTTCGGACAGTTACTAACTGGCCTTATTTACATTATGTAACCGATCGTCCCTGGGCCATATTATAAATATTTCATATAAAAATTTGACAATACTTGAAGTATAGGAAGAAAATTAATAATAATGATAATGATATAATAATTATAATACTAATAATATAATAATACTCATAATTATATTGATAATCTTACTAATAAAAATAACAATAATATTAATAATAATAATAATAATCCCTGATATTTATAAGTTATGTTTAATACATTTAAAAAAGTTCGCGTTTAATTATTCAATCAGTTGGGACCTGTTTCTTATTTTTAATAACATTTTAGAGCATCAAATTAGAGCAATAAAATGTTGAATGTCATTATCCACTTCTACCCGTTCTGCAGGCTACCATAACTGTTTTATAATAAATTATTCAATTAAATTACCCGCATAAAATGCCACTTTATAGTTCCCCCCAAATCGTGTTATATGTATATTATTATTTTTATATTATTATAATACAAAATAATTTTAAAAATGTGTATTAATAAAAATTCTAATTGGAATGAAAATTGTTAAATAATATCATCTATATTTAAGACATTTCTCTGCCAAGTAGCAGAAAACATGTGTTTCTTTTAATTTGTTAAATAAAAATAAGAGCCCAAGGTTATGGAATTATATTATCTAAGCCAACTTCTATCTCTCCCTCTCCCTCTCTCTCCCTCTCCCTCTCTCTCTCTCTCCCTCTCTCTCTCCCTCTCTCTCTCTCTCTCTCTCTCTCTCTCTCTCTCTCTCTCTCTCTCTCTCACTCTCTCTCTCTCTCTCTCTCACTCTCTGGACTATCAAAATCCTTCAGTTTCAGTCATAACGAAAAAATGACAGTTTAAAATCGAAAATTTCTATTTGTAATGAAGTTAAAGCAACTTATTGCTGCATTTTTTTTTTCATATTGAAAAAACAATTAATTACTTCAATGACAAGCAAATCGAATCCAAAGAATATCGTTTAGTAAGACTGTTTGGGTGCTTGTCGCCTTGCCAATGGCAGCATTTCTTTGAATGTGGCTAACTATCGTGTCTGGCATCTTGGCGTTCCAATTTAAATCCGTTTTTTTGTCGCTGCGACGACCTTGGTCAGTTTAAAGCCAAATTAAAAACAATAATGGCCCATAGACGGCGGTTGCTAAATGACGGTGGGGCGTCGAAAGGCGTGACGAACTGCCAACGTCGTCGCTTCAACTTTAAAGTGTGCCAAAGTGTGTTTTTTTGGTTGTGCTGCTTGTCATTCGCATAAGACTAGAGACCTTTTTGAGCTGTCATTGTCTATTTCGAGTCGCATAGTTTTTTTTCTATTTTTTTGTGCCACACTTGACATTTGCGAAGAGGAGCAAAAAGACAGCCAACACGTTGTTGACTAGCGCTTGGATTTACATATAAAATTAAATATCGCATAGATATTTGGCTGCCCGGTTTCCGCTTCGCCAAATCACACTTGACGAAATTTACGTCAATTGTGGAACCAGTTTTCGATTTTCATTTAAATGTGATAAACTGTTTCAACAGAACTCCTACAAAATCATTAATTTCATTAAATTCAGGCGAATAGCCGCATGCAAAATTGCAGCACTTAAAATAACTTGAATCTAAAGCATTTAACACTAAATTGCTCCTTGGGGCACTTTTGACCATTTATCATGCGGTTTGAGCTCGTGTTTAAGCTAAATATATTCGTATATTCGTATATTTATTAAGCAAAGTGCTATTCCGTACCAGGATGTTTTGTTGTCTTAAGCTGTTAGTCTTGCGGTCTGTTGCTTTGTCTCAAAAAACCGCAAATCGATAGTGTAAATATTTTATGTATTAAATATATGCACCATAAACACTTTATATAGTATTTCTTACCCAGACTGACAACTGCTTGTAAACTGGGTGAATTGTTAATGAACACTTTGTCCACAATGTGCATAAAATTTTTGCATAACCCTTAAGAGACTTAATTAAAAGCAGGTTATCCATCCCGATAATATGAATAAGTAGCTGTTTGCATCATCGCAGACATTCAATAAACTTCAACTGCATTAAGTATACGCATATGCGATTTGCTAACTTTAAGCTGAACAAGCTCTAGAATTTTTGCTGTTGAAAAAATATATATAAATTATATCGAAGAAAAATAACACTTGGTACCATAAAAACTTAATGTCTAGCCTTTAAAATCTCTCAGGTTTGTTGAATATCGCTTAAATATATAATATATGTAACATTTAGAAGCATTTAAACGACCACTTTTAAATATAAAAAAAAAAATGCTCTGTTAATGTTGGCCTCGAAAAGATTTAAAAAGCCTTAATGGATTACCAATTTAAATGACTTAACAATAAGTTACACGAAAGCTTAGCTTAACTCGATTTAAATACGCTAGGTGGAGCTAACTGTCAAAGCTCCCTTGTCCGCAGTTATGGCTTAAATTAAAGACAAAAAGTACTCGAAATCATATTTTATACAATTTGTTGTACTCCAACTGCTCATGCAAAATGTAGCTGTATCTCCGGCATGAATTTATTGTTCCTTGGCAACACCCAAAGAGGCCACATTCAATTATATTGCAATTATTTTCCAATTATAGACTTTTTGTTGCGAAAACTGAAAAGTTGAAAAGTTTTGCCTGCCACCTTGTCCTTGGCTAAGTATTAAAACATAAAATTTGATGGCCTAGCAAATTTATATATTTTCGTACTTTCCTACTTACCCACAAGAACTCGAACATATATAACGTAAATGTATACAAGTATTTTATTTAGTGCCAGCTGAGCGAAGCGGACAAATTGCTCCGATGACCTTATGTGTGCATAAATATTTCAGCCGCTTTGGCTTTGGCTTTTGCTTTAGCTAGTTGCCAGTTTCAAGAGCAAGGCAGAGTCCTTGATGTAGCAGAAAACTATTTGCAAACTGTAAGGACAAAAGCCAGCATGCAATAAAAGCTTCCCCCTCGGCCCCACTGTATCACAGCCTGGGCGGCACCTAAGCGCCGCTGTGGTGGTCAACAGGTTGAGGGTAAACTATTTTATTTTTTCCCCGTTTGCAGCGAGCTTTTTTGCTTCTTTTTAGTAGCCATGAAAATTCAATTAACAGCACAGGCGCTAATTGATGGCGCATTGCAAAGCTTTCCACTTGTTGAGAAAACCAATTGAATTGGCTCGGCCTCACGTGCTGCGCCGAGCAAAAACGAAAGCTCAAGCTCAGCACGTGCCGTGTGTGGCAAAAGCACAACAAATACGGCCACAAATACAAGTACAAACACAAGCACGAGCTCCTCGCCAGCGGCGAGCCTTACACGAGCACGCACTTGAATTTCAACTGGCGACAACAGTTTGTTGCTTAGCCTGCACGCCAACGGACGTCCACAGCACAGAGCCGATGCAGAGAAAGTAACGGTTGTTTCTGTTTCCGTTTCCGTTTCAGTTCAGTTTTCCCATTTTCGTCTGCCGCTTTGCCAGCTCTTTAAGCAACGGTCAGTCGCGGAGCGTGACGGGAACGCGACGGGCAAGACACAAGTCGCAGTCAGAAGGATTAAAAAAAAAAGTAAAACAAAAAAACGAAGTAACAACAAAACAGGGAAAACAAGGAAAACAACAACAACAGTGAATACAAAATGGAGTTTCTGAGAATTTTAGTTGCGTGAAGTGAAGTTAAATAAAGTAAAGCGAAGTAGTAAATATTTTAATGCCCAAAAATGCACCCTAAAAATCTGGCAAAGGGGCACAGGGAGAGCGGGAGATTCGAAATGGAAGCTAGGGAATTATAAGTGTCTGAAATTAGAAAAGTCGAGAGATTAAAATAGGAATTACTCATAAGCGTGGCCGCTTGAATTTTACGCACTGAAGAACAATTTGAAAAAGTTTCAAATATTTCTGAAATCTAAATTTGAAACATAATAAATTGCGCTCATAAACTTTTGATTTCAAACGGGACCTTCAGAGCCTAGAATTATATGCAAATTAGAATCACCTTCAAGCCGAAACATTATAGTTTTTATGGAACACGAAACTGCTTGCGAGAAACAAAGTTAGGGCTGTAAGGTTTAGGTCTTGCCAAAGTGCTGCGTTCTCCCAGCGGTTGGGTAAACAAACAGTTAAAACGTGACTTTAGCCAGGCCGTGTTGAGACCTAAATAGGCTTCTTTGGCTTCACACAGGAAGCAGGTGCAAACAGGGCAGAGTCCCCACACAACTGGCTAAAGCGTATTACCAATTGCTAAGTGGTCGACTAGTAAGCAGGCAGTGACAGTCACCAGCTGAGACATGTAATCAACGGGACCATCAGCCATTTTTGGGGTTCGTTTATCGTGACTAAGTTAAAGCTCATATAAGGGCACAAGGTCAGCGCTGAACTGACCTGCGGCTAGTTGAATAAGGTCTACTTTTAGGCCGTCCAAAAAAGTTGCTTTAGTCGTGGCTTAAGGGCAAGTTGCAGCCAAACATGGAATATGTAAAAAAGAAGTTCTTCCAACTTTAAAGAAGCTGTAAATTTTGTGCTGGTGGAAACATTCTTACGGAAAAGTTTGTTAAACGTAGTCAAGAGAAGACTTACCCAACATAAAAAGTAAAGATTTTATGATGAAAACTGAGATAATGAAAAGCAACGCTGTGATTGGGCAATATATGATCGAAGTATCAAATGCTTAAGAAACGTTTCGATATAAATTCAGAATAATATCGCTTTCTGTGTCTTGATAGATAGATATATAGATATATATATATAGATAGATGTAGCTTTGGCACGAGTTAACTTCAAGCTCCAACTTACAATTTATGAAATGAGCTATTCGCAGGACTATAAAAATAGAGAACATATTCGCGTGATGTATTTCAGTCTATGGCCGTACGCGCTTTAAGCGTATAGCCGAGGGATACTTTGTGCTTGTGAACCAAGGCTATATGCATTTCAAATGGGCAACACTCTCGCAACAATGAAGGCAAAAGTAAACAAAAGGGGCGTGTCCAAAATAGTAACAACAACAGTGGAAACACAGCAACAAAAGAGACCCCGCTCCCCCCACAAAAAAAAAAAAAAGGAACGCAATTGTCGCATGCGCCACTGGGCTGGGCCGTAGCGGGGC